GAAGACTGATCTAAAAATATTCTTCAAGGTCTTAGGGAAACTCACAATGTGTTTTGTGCTCTCTGTTGACTTTATGCCTTAGTGTGGACCAGTGGCATGGAAATGTCAGGACAACGATCGGCCGAGGGAATTCCTGGGGCAGTACCTCCCACGGAGATTTATGTGGACCAGAACCTGGCCCAGCAGGACAAGGTGAGGGTCCCATGGGAAGGATAGAGATGCAGCAGCCAGTGGGCTGCAGAGGGACTTGCCACGGTGTCTTGTCGTTCTCTGTGGCACGGAAATGTCTTTTTTTCCTCCTTTCAAGAAACCCCTGTCTTATTTCCAGGGCAGTTGACCAAAATCCTAAATAACAGCAGCATCCACAACCACTGTTTATTGAGCACCAGCTGTGTGCTGGACTGTGTCCCATGTACTTAACATTCATTAGCTTCTTCAATCTTCACTGTCTTCAAAATAGATTTTATCACCCTCACTTAACCAATTAGGAAACTGAAGCTCAGAGAGGTTAAGCAACTTTCCCAAGGTTGCTCAGTGCAAGGGGCAGAATTGGGATTCAAACTCAGGTCTGGTTAACTTCTAAGCTGGCACTTCTAACTCCCACAATAACTGCTCAGTCAACCACAAATGATGGATCAGTGGCGGGAAACAAAAAACAAAAAACCACAATTCCTGGCAGAAGGAAGTGAGAGCTGAGCTTAGAGACCACAGAGCAAAGAGGGAGACTTGTTAAAGAACCAGAGAACATCAGAGCATGAAACAGGAATGGGAGTGAGAACAGGTGAATTTAGTGATCCTACACAATTCCTGGCAGAAGGAAGTGAGAGCTGAGCTTAGAGACCACAGAGCAAAGAGGGAGACATGTTAAAGAACCAGAGAACATCAGAGCATGAAACAGGAATGGGAGTGAGAACAGGTGAATTTAGTGATCCTAGGAAGGGTAGATTCAGGGTAATTTCTGCCCACTTAGCCACAGCCTGAAAAGTATCCTAAAAGTCCAACAACGTCTTGATTTTCTTAAGGATCAGGGCCTGAGCATGCAGCAATTCTGAGAGTCTGTGTGGAGCAGAACCACCTGGGGTTCTTGTCACACACAGGAGTGACATGCCCGGGAATCTGCAGCTTCAGGTTGAAGGTGGTTCTGATGCAAATGTCCTGAGTCCAAACTTTGAGAAATGTTGCTGTAAGTTGAAAAGCCAGCCTCGGATGCTGTCAGTAATCTGTTGCTGTGTAACAAGCCAGCCCAAAGCTTAGTGGCTTAAAACAGCAATTTATCATTTCTCACCAGTCTCTGGCTTGACTTGGAAGGTTCTCCTGCTGGACTCGTCTGGTATCACTCACCCAACTGCAGTTAGCCGGTGGCTTGGCGGGGGCATGTGGTCTCAGGTGGCCCCATTCCCATGTCCGGGACCTCAGCCGGGATACCTGGACTGGCAAGCCCCTGTCTGCACATGGTTTTTCATCCTGGGCTTCTTCACAGCACAGTGGTCTCAGGGTTTCCAGAGGGCCAGAAGCAGCCTCTTAAGAACCTCACTTCTGCCTCATTCTATCAGTCAAAGCAAGTTGCAGGACCAGTCTAGATCTAAGGAACAGAGGAAATGAACTCTACCCCTTGATAGCAGAGCTGCAAAGCATTCATAGCCATTTTTTAATCCACCACAGTCGTTAAGCTGGAAATATGATGCAACCACATTTATAATTTTTTCTATTTATGAGCAATTTATGCCCAGACTTGGCAAGATGTCTTCAAGTACAAGGAGCAATAAACAAATTGGTTTAAGAAAATAAAAGAAAGAAGCACTTATTGGCTTATCTTATTGAAAAGTTTGAAGGCCTGCTGACTTCAAGCATGGCTGGACTCAGGAGCTCCAGTGGCATAAGCAGAACATTCCCCACTATCAATTTTTCCCCTCTGTTTCCCTCACAGTTTGGCTTTCTCTGGCCTCTTGTGTTGGAAAAGATGACCACAGACAAACTGAAGCCTATCAATTTAAAGTTTATGATTCAAAAGGAAGCAAGACCCTCTTCCTCTTGCAACTGAGACATGAAATCTCTGTGAAAACTCGAATCAGCCAGCTTGGGTCACATGCACACGGGGAGACAGGACAGGAAGCACCAGAGCACGTGACTGACACTTCTACCGAGACTTCATGGAAGGGTGGGGGGTGATCCCTCAAGGAAGGGCACAGGGTCCTCACCAGAAAAGCAGAAGCCGTAGCTGCATACCACACGCTGCAGGCTTCTTTATACTCCTGTGCCCAGCACGGAGCCTGGCACACAGTAGGTGCTCAACAAATGTTTGTTGCATGAATGAAGAGTAAGCACCTGGCTGAGCATGGAGACTTTGGGTAACTCATCTGAATGAGCAAGGGGGCTGCCCAGGAGCATGGGACCTGTTCAAGGCTGTCCCTTGAAATTTTGCCAGAAGCACCCACAAAGACCCAAAGAAAGACCCTTGGCAGCAGTACACAATGCCAGATGGGATCTCCCAGGACTGAAACCCCCCACTTGCCCGAGAAGGTTGTGAGGCTAAGTCAGAGGCTCCCCAGGCAATGAACTGGCCCCAAAGCTGCCCATTTACCTCCTTCCAATCAATGGAGAATTGTTGAAGAGCAAGGTTTTCTTTAAAATAATCCATCAGAAATTCTGTAGCTGCATATGAAAATAAACTGGGGAATATTTTTTCAGTCTTTCTTACAATTTATTGATGACTTCTGGGGAGAAGTTTGGGGGATTTTTTTTTTTTTTTCCTTTTCTGGGAAACCTAACAAATTCTTTGGCTACAGTGCTTTTCCTCTTGCAGAGATGGAGGACTGGGCTAATTATGCCTTTGGGTAGTGTCTGCCAGCAAGGATTTTTCCCAGTCCAAAGTTTACACAAGTCCACACGCACAAATCACCATTCCCCTCTCATTATCTTTGCAAACTCAGTTACCTGGGATACATTTTTTGTGCAAATAACCAAAAAAGAGGCAGGGAGGACCAGAAGAGAGGAAAGTGAAAAGAATATGTTGAAATATATTAAATTTTTAAAATTAAAAAAATAGCCCTCATTATAGTCAGAACGTGGTTGAATAGAATGTCATTTTCTTAATTGCTTTTCCTAGGTCTCCAGTGTTTTAAACTGAGGCCTAGTAAGTTAATTCCTAAAAATATTATGAATAAACTTTCTGGCAACAAAAAATGGGATGATTGATCTCAGTATGAAAGCATAATTTTAGGGGAAAGGCAAGTTTCCATATCTTTGAGGTATAAACATCCATTATACGATATACAAGTATATAATTTTAACCAAACTTGTCTCTGTGAGGCTTTCCAAGTGACACAGATAGCCTTGAAAGTTTGCCTTTTCCCTTCCTGCCTGCCCTTGCCTTCCCGAAAGAATTACACCATATTTTTCCTACTTTTTTTTTAATGGTCTCAGCCTTGCATCTGGACCTACATCCAGTAAAGTTCCCATCTTATCTCCACCCAGGATGAAATAATTCTGCTTCTGGGAAACGAAGTCAGCCGTCTCTCAGATTTTGAACTTGAATCCAAATACAAAGACGCCGTGATTATAAACCTGCAGAATGAAGTGGCTGGACTGAATCAGAAGCTGTCGCAGAAAACCACCCCCAGGCAGAGTGACAGGGAGATGTCGCAGAAGTTTCAGGTTCCGGATGAAGACATGGATGCCAAACAGAAAGAGATCCAGAGCCTGAAAAGCCAGGTAGGACCCAGAGCCTTAGAGTCACAACACAAGGTGACAGCTCTCAGTCTAGAGCCTGGGAGCACCCACTGAGAAGAGCCACGCAGAGAGTTGGAGAGGGGTAGCCAGTGCAGCATGATGCTTAAGAACACAAATGCACAGGGGTTAGAGACTTGGCAGGTTTCTAGCATAGTAAGAACAATATTAGCATTTATTAATCTCCAACCACGTGCAAGCATGGGTGCAAAGCACTTTAGATGCATAACTTCAAAGGCCTCTGACCCATCTATTTTATAAGTGAGGAGTCTATGGCAGGTCCAGAGACGTCCAGGAACTGGTTACAGCTTGCACAGCACGTTTGAGGTGGCAGGGCCATTTGAACTCAGGTCTGCCTCATTGCAGACCCCACACTCTCACTCCCACTTCCTATTTCCACCTAATGGGGTTGCTTTGGTGACTGCCTCTCACACCCATCTAGTGCCAGCCAGGAAGAGCTGTGGGCAGTTAGCTAAGTGGGGGAAAAGGATCTCCCAGTATTCCAAACACAGAGGCCTTTTACCAAACCCTGAAGGCAATTGCTGGCTCACTTAAGGGGAATTTCATCAAACAGAAATTCTCTACCTGGAATTTCTGGATTTACCAGTCCTTTCTCTTGAACCTAGACCCAATTTCCTTTTTTTTTTTTTTTTTAGAACTTCTTTAAAATTGGCAGGTGATGTTGTACATAAATTATATCTCAACAGACCAATAAAAAAGAAATTGGCCACTGGTGAATTTTGACTTCAATGCATCATGCTGCTTAAACCGTAGTCATGCCTGGGGCGTGTGTTCTCTGGTTCCCGTCTATACCCAACTCAAGTTGCACAATTTCAGTCCTGGAAATGGTGCCCTAGAAAAGGACATAAGTTCTTCATGGTGAACCTGGGAGATTCTTCCACAAGGGCAAGGACTGGACCCTGTTACCTTCCAGAAGTCTTATTATTCATTCATTCATTTATTCATTTATTCAAATATANAGGCCTTTTACCAAACCCTGAAGGCAATTGCTGGCTCACTTAAGGGGAATTTCATCAAACAAAAATTCTCTACCTGGAATTTCTGGATTTACCAGTCCTTTCTCTTGAACCTAGACCCAATTTCCTTTTTTTTTTTTTTTTTTAGAACTTCTTTAAAATTGGCAGGTGATGTTGTACATAAATTATATCTCAACAGACCAATAAAAAAGATATTGGCCACTGGTGAATTTTGACTTCAATGCATCATGCTGCTTAAGCCGTAGTCATGCCTGGGGCCTGTGTTCTCTGGTTCCCGTCTATACCCAACTCAAGTTGCACAATTTCAGTCCTGGAAATGGTGCCCTAGAAAAGGACATAAGTTCTTCATGGTGAACCTGGGAGATTCTTCCAGAAATTCTTCCACAAGGGCAAGGACTGGGCCCTGTTACCTTCCAGAAGTCTTATTATTCATTCATTCATTTATTCATTTATTCAAATATATATTTGTTGAGTGCCTACGCAGTGCAATGCCCTCTTCCAGGCTCTGGGAAACCATCAGGAAACAAGACAGACATGATCCTTGCTTTCCCCCAGTTATGTTCCAATGAGGGAGACAGAATAAACAAGTAAACAAACACATTCATACTCTAATATTTAAACAAATGAATGACCCTCCTTTGGACCTGTTTTTCAAAGAACAGATAAAGTAGCAGGCCTTACACAATCTACTACTGCAGACAGCTGCATTGACATGGAGCTAACTCATGGATAAGCACCTTTCTCTTGATCTGAACCCAATTTTGTAATCGGACAGAGAAATATCCTTTACAGTGATTTAACCATTTCAGAGCTTTCCTGAGCGAAGTTTTTGTCCAGGTATATTGGCAAGGATGAAACCATTCTCACATATCTTTGAGTCTGAGTCAGCAGGTCACAATTTGAGTGTTGCTTAAAGTGGCTAGAGATATGTGGAAAATTGTTGTTTCACCAAGACGTTATTGAGGAACAATTACTCTGATTTATCATACTGTTGCTTCCTCCCCCTCCTTGATCTTCATTCCTAATTGGAAGAGGATATTTTATAACAAGGCATCGCTGACCTAGAGGGTGCAGCTGACTTGAATCCAAATCCAGTTTCATCTGCTCACGTGTTAGTTTCTTAAATGTCCTGTTGCAGGCAGAACATTCAGCCAGAAGTATAAGCCACATGGCAGGTTGATTTATTGTTCTGATTACTGTATATGTTCTCCCTGGTCCCCTGAAGGTATATGCATATTGATTTGCTTTCAAAGATCTTCGATCCACTACAATATCAATGGAAAATGCTTACCTCCTTGCGGTCTGTACCGACTGTGCTAATTAGCAGCCGAATTGTTATCTTGAAGCAATCACTCTTCCTAGTACTATTAACTTTCTTATGATCCAGTACCCATTTTATTACACAGTATAACAGGCATTAAACATCTTGGGATTTGTGCCAATTATAGACAATATGGATGTTTATTTTGGTACTGAAAGTAATGAAGAGGTTTGAAGACTATTTGGAGTTTTCCCGCAATCCAAAATCCTTAAGCTCTCATACTTAGATTGAAATATTTTATATCTGCCAGACAGCACTGGAATCTTTAGGGGGGGGG